CCCTGCAACAGCAATAGTTGCTCTTAGCCATTGAGCCATCTTTCCAGCTCTATACTTATGGCACACAAGGCATGCATGCGGTTATACTGGAGCTCAAAATGTTTGGTTAATATTAATGTGTGTGTGTGTGCGCGCGCGCGACACACGCACATGCGTGCACATCATTGGCATTTCTGTACTATAGCATGCATACAGAGGTCAGAGGACAATTTGCAGGAGTTGGTTCTCTCCTAGCATAGCATGTGAGTTCTAGGGATTGAACTCTGGTTGTCAGGCCTGGTGGCAAGTGCCTTTACCCACTTAGCCATATATTGCCATCCCTGAAAATATTCTTATCACTTTACTCATGTGTTTGTGGGGATGGTGATATGAACAAGCCTATTACTACCAGTCACACAAAAACATACTACATACAGTTCTATATAGCATATGATGCTATGTGTTTTTGTTCTGTTCTGTTTGCAGGTTATGCTTTTGTTTTTGAGACAGGGTCTCTGTACATATTCCTGAATGCCCTAGAACTCACTGTGTAGACCAGCCTGACCTAGAATTCACAGAGATCCACTGTCTCTGCCTCCCAGTGCTGGGATTAAAGACATGTGCCACCATGGAAAGACGGCTTATTAATTAAGACCACTTGTTCTTGCAGAGGACCCAGGTTTGGGTTCAGGGACTTACATGGTGGCTCACAACTGTGGTGATATTTTGCTTTTGATCTAACAAATAAAGCTTAGCCACTGAGGCAAAGTAGTGGTGGCACACGCCTTTAATCCCCACCCTCAGGAGACAGAGGCTGACAGATCTCAGTGAGTTCAAGGCCACCTAGAGCTACACAAAATTAATCCAGTCTAAAAGAGAAACAAAGCTCACACTAAGGTGATCCCAGAACTTGGGATCCCACATCTTTAACCCCAGCACTAGAGAGGACTATAAGGTGGAAGAGACATACGAGACTATAAGGGACCTCAGTGCAGTCTGGGGTTTGGTGGAGAGCAGTGCAGTCTGAGGATTCATGGAGACAGAATTGCCCATTTCCGTCTGAGGTTGAGGTAAGAGCTAGCAGCTGGCTGCTTTGCTTCTCTTATCTTCAGCTTTAATCCCAATATCTGTCTCTGGGTTTTTATAATTAATACCAACTAGAATTAGTGCTACACACAGCCAGGGATTACTACAGTTCCAAGGGATCTGGTGCCCTCTTCTGACTTCCACTGCCACACACACACACACACACACACACACACACACACACACACACTTCCAAATATACATTCAGACAAAACATTCATACACCCAAAATAAATCTTTTAAAGAAGGGACTGTCTTAATTAGTCAGAGGTGTTTCTCCATGTCTATTTTCTTTAAAATTATAGGTAATCTATCATTTCTCCTAAATGTTTGCTATGAGTCATTAATAAAATCATCTATGTTGGTCTTTTTGTTGTCGATGTTTTATTGTGGACTGAATTTAGTTATTTTTGTTTGTTGAAAAAGGATCTCACTATATAGCTTAGCCAGGTTTCAAACTCATCATCCTCCTGCCTCAGGCTCCCAATTGCTTCGATTATGAATTTGTACCAATATACCTGGTTTACTCTAGTCTTCAATGCTATAACAAAACACTTGAGGTAGGCAGTTTCTTTAGCTTACAGTTTGGGAGGCCAAAAGTTCAAATAGAATTGTAAGACTCTGGTGAGAACGCAAGTGTTACAGCTCTGGAGGGAACGATATCTTAGCTTGTAGCGAAATCAGACTATACCTGAAGCTGGGGTATGGTGGAGGATGCCCCCTCCCCGCACCCGTCAAGGATATAACAATCCTGCTCCTCTCCAAGAGAGGGCCATTATAGCGGAGCTCTGCCTGGCCCCCTCCTTAAAGGAGGCTTCCCAACAGAGGTATCCATTTCTTCTCAGCTCCGGCCCAAGATGTTACATCTTCTGCTTCACTCAGGTAAACAAACCCCTGCAAAAATGTAGCAATCTCCTCTGGCTCCAGTGACAAGTTGTTACTTTTGCTGTTCACCCCCCTCTCCTGCCCCCAGGGAACTTCTCAGCAAAGGTCTGCTCCCCACTGACAAAAGATCTTCACCCAAGAATCTTTTAAGAACAGTTTATTTGGGAAGGAGGAGTCCAGGAGAGTGGCTGGCTCTGCCAGGGGGGGAAAGGACAGCCAGCAACTGAACAGGCAGAGGGGCTTATATAGGGCTTCTTAGGGGCAGAGTTTTCCAGGGAGAAGTTTTTCTGCTCAGGGATCTGTTAGTTTTCTTCTTAGGGATTGGTTAGATTAGTTGGTCAGGGGCAGAGTTGGCTCTGGTTTCAGGATCAAACTGTGTTTCTTTCACTTTTTTTTTTATTTTTATTTTTTTGCCTTTTGCCTTTTGCCATTTGGCTCTATTTTCAGGGCCAGTACATATTTCTTTCTCTGGCTCTGGTTCTAGGGCCAAAGTGTATTTCTTTGGCTCTGGTTTCAGGGTCAGGGTGGGTTTCTTTGGCTAGCCCTTTTACCCTACAGAGAACCCTCAGTCACATTTGAAAAAGGGGCAGCCAGAGGATAACTGGAGTCCCATAATGCCTTCCAAACACACTCCTCTGATAGGCCTAAGGCTCCCAGCATCCACTTCAAACGGGTCACAAACAGCTGTAACTGGAGCTTCAGGGGCTCCAATGCCTCTGGCCTCATGGGCACCTGCACTCACATGCACATTCACAGACACACACACCACACAGACACAAAATTTAAAATAAAATAAATAATGGGAAACAATCAGACAACACTATTGTATGTTCCTGGTGCCTCTGTCGAATTATTGGCCCAACATCTTTGACAAAGATCATCTTAATTATCTTTTTCTTTCTATGTGAGTTTTGGTAAGTAATGTCTTAAAAATTGCAGATATATAATGATATATAGGATTATTTTTTGAGACAGGGTGAAGGGACCAGACCCTCACTCAGCCTCCTGCTTTAGCAGCCATGACAGGCTACAGAAAAGACACATAGGCCTCTGACACAAGGAAATTCTAGATCCTCTGGTTTCCCAGAGCCTATGGCCAAAACTGAACACAAAGAAACTCCAGACTCCCTCCCTGCCAGCCTCCTAGATACTTGGTTCCTGGGAACTGTTTGGCCACAAAAGAAACTCCAGGGGAGACTAAAACCTCCCCTATAGTCTCCAGGATACAGTTCTGAAAACTATGATATCTATGAACAACAGGCCACCTGCAAGTAACAAGACAAAGCCATAGAAACCACAGAATGTTCCCTCTCAGCACTGACCACTGAGAATAATTGGTACATAGGTATTTCGTGCCAAAATAGGACTTTGAGAAATTCTTTTGATTGTTCCCAAATGTCAACCAATCAGAAACCAACCTATGCCTACTGATGTAATCCTGTAACTTTTGTCTTTAAACCTAGCAGTAGACAAGGAACTTTGCTCCCCCTGGAGGCTACTGCAGCAGCTAGCCAGACGGGGTCCCTGTCATGGTTGGATGAATAAAACCTTGCTTTTGCAGTTTGGTGGATCTGTCTGTTTCCCTGGTGGTCTCTAGGGATCTTTGTGACTTGGGCAGGACATGGAGAAGGGCCAAGGGCACAGACGAAGGAATCTTGACATACATCAGATAGCTGTGGGCCAGAGAGGAAGAGCAAAAGAATCTCGAGGCGCATAGGGCTGTATGTCACAGCAGAGGGTTGAAGAAAAGCAAATACTCGATAATGTTAGCAGAGTGTTTATGAATGGAGGTCTGAAAGAAAGCTAATGCATTTGGCAATGAGGAGGCCACTGTTGACCTTATTACCGGAGTGTCCAATAGAGTGGTTGGCTCAGAGACCAAACTGCAATGAGTATACACACAATGGGTTAGGAATAAAGACACCAGTCTCCATCATCTTATTTTGCAAGAGTCTGGAGGATGGAGAAATGGCCCAGAGGTTAAAACCACAATACTGCTC